AATATGAAGAAATGGTCACTGAACGAATCAGTGAACGAATCTGAACAAATCATTTTGGTAAACGAACTGAAGATGAATGAATCTCTTGAAAGAATCAAAATTTTCACCACTACGCACAGCACAACCAAATACTGAAACGTGCTGGTCTGTGTGTATTTGCAGCATGTTTCTGTATTTAATTGTGTTGTGCGTCTTTGCAGCGTTTTTCTGTATTTGGTTGTGTTGTGTGTCTTTGCAGCACATGTGTTGTCAACTGATGAAGATGTTTTCTTAATTTGCTGGTGTTTTTTCTATTTGCATATGTTTTTTTTCATTTGCAGCATGTTGAGCTCTCTCGGCCACCATAGATTTCCCTATTTCTGGATTACAGAACTGGCGTAAAGCACAGCAGAGTTTTAAAGCACATAATGTTAGTACTGCACAAAAGTTTTCAATGGAGGCATGGTGTAAATGTAAACAGAGGATGCAAGATGGCTCAAAAATACTGAACATTATTGATAGGGGACATTCTAAAGTGGTCGAAGAAAATCTGCACTATACAGGGGTGTGAAGTAACGAATTACAAATACTCCTGTTACAGTAATTAAGTAGTTTTTATCAGTAATTGTACTTTTTTGAGTAGTTTAAAAATTGTGTACTTTTACTTTTACTTGAGTACATTTTAAGTGATGTATCGGTACTTTTACTCCGCTATTTTCCTCCGTTTATTATGAGGGGGTAGAATCCACAGCTCAGTACTCACTACTCAATACACATGAGTACTTTTAAACAGGCTACTCTTTTACTCTTACTCAAGTAGTTTTTTGGACAAGTACTTTTACTCTACTCACACTACATTTTTTGGAAGGTAATGGTACTTTTACTTGAGTATATTTTTCAGTACTCTTTCCACCACTGGCACTATATGAAGGCTGTGGTGGAGAGTTTGCATTACACAGCATTTCAGGGCATTGCTCAGCGTGGTCACAGAGAGGATGAGAATTCACATACAGAGGAAACTTTATTGAACTCCTCAATGTCATTGGCATGTTTGACCAAACTGTTGCTAAAAAGATAATCCGTCAAAAGCAAAATATACTCACCACGAAGTGCAAAAAGAGATCAGCAAAAAATAACAGATTTCGGTAGGGGTGGTACGAGATCACACGAGATCCGATGTGTCTCGCGAGATCCGACTGGTCTTGCGAGACCGTGATGATATCCTCGCGCTATTGGCATATGTCAGACCTTTCAGACATATCTGCATTACACTGGCTCGTTCACCAGTAGTGGTATGCAAGATATTTTATGTTCACCTGTGAATACAATATGCTTACCTGCTGTTAACAGGACGCTCCAATGTTTAACTAATCACCAAAATATTTTATTAGCAAAATCTTTTGGAATCTTTAGGAATAGTTATGTGCTGAACGACTGGGCTAGTGCTGCTTCCTCAAGAACGTTTATCATTCTCACATGATTTAAGCCTTGTCATTTTAAACATTAAAGTGTTTTAAGCCATTCAAGCGTAAGACAGCGCGAAAGAGATTTCAGTGCGGTACTAGCTCGCTGTGATAGACCGTTTCTGTGCACACGAACGCACGCACGCAAAAAGCCACAGCTCAGACAGCATATGCGAGAACCAAATTGAGTTCTCTTTTGCGTCTTGACCAAATGCACACAAAATTATGTCAGAATCACGGTCTTGACGAGTATCCACATTAACACGTATTGTTTCCAACCCACTCTTCACGCCAAACTAGCAGGTTCAGGACTTCCACCCGTAATGGTAGTAGCCTACTACTCAGTCCCCTTGCCATATCGGCTCAAATGCATAAGCAATTGCACTTATTATGGGCTCAACAGTCCTTTTAAGTTCGTCTTCCTCAATTTAAAAACAAGTGTGTGTTCAAAAAGTAAAGAAATGCTTATATTACTGCACTGGCCAACAGAGCGAACCAACCCTGTGACATCACATGCTGTGGTACTGCAAGATGGCGGCATCAACCACAAAAACCGTCGCATTGTCCTGGTTTGAGACTGTAAATAGTACTAAATGACTGTTGTCTAGGGTGACCATACGTGCCATTTTCCCAGGACGCATCCTGGCCAGGATTTCTATATTGCCTAAAATATCTAGGTTTTGGCTTTGTTTGCGTGTGCAGACCGATCGGTGCATGACATCAAAGTACCATACAGACGGTTATGCTTTCGAAACGCTCTCGAGGTACTTTGATGTCAAACACTGATCGGTCTGAGCCGCACTGCTTTTAAGTCGAACACACCTAATATGTACGCGTAATTGCATCGCTTTGAACGTAGATCCCACCTTCTCACACGCCATGATTGGTCCATTATGTACAATGCTTGCATGTTATTGGTCAAACTACTTTTCGATCATTACCTTCAGCAAGCATGAAAACAGGAAAACAAAGCCAAAACAAATCCTGGCCAGGACGCGTCCTGGGAAAATGGCACGTATGGTCACCCTACTGTTGTCACCAATTTGGTGAATACTGATATTTCCCCGGTGCCATGGGTGCTTTTTGCCCTTGACTAAAATTCTGAAATTTTGTTCAATGAATGTCAATATGCAAAATCTTTAGGAATAGTTATGTGCTTGTTTAGTTTCATGAAATTAAAACTTAAATTGTGATGAATAAAATAATTGAATATAAAAAAATTTAGTGCACAAGTTTTGCACCGCATAAATATATATATATATATAATTGCGCAGCTTCCCCTGTCAATGATCTAGCACCCCCTCAGCACCTGCATTCAAAATTTTCTGGTGCCACCCATGCAGCTTATATCTAAAGTAAACTTAAATAACAAATAACACTGTTGTTGTCACGATTGCCTACGGAGAGGAACAAGGAAAGCGGAGACAGACTAAGGAGCCATGGCGGAGCAGTAGGGCTGTGCAAATAATCAAATGCGATTTTCATGCCCATCTGGTCAGTAAAGCCGGTTCTGTGATTAGTAGTAGATCTCCAGCACATGTTTTCAGATGGAGCGGCAGTTACGCAATATCGCGTTCAAAATCGCAGGCGATTCATTGCCGAGTTCAGGGGGCCATGGCGGAGCGGCCTCTGTGGCCTTGGCCTCGGCATCCGGCCCAGTCTCTACAGCCGGAGCCCTATAGCCCCCCAAAAAAATTCCTTGGGGGAAATTTCGGGTTCTGAGGCCCTCCGTGGGCCAGGCCTAGGAACAGCGGCCCTCCCTGGGCTTGACTCGAGATCTGTGGCCCTCCCTGGGCCAGACGTGGGAACAGCGGCCCTCTTTGGGCTGGACTTGGGAACTGGAGCCCTGAGAGTGCAGCGGCCGGCAGGATTGACGGAGGAGAGGCCGGCTGGCTTGACTGCGGAATGGACAGCGGGCTTGATGCAGAGCTGGTTCTGGATCGGGGCCGGACGCTCACCAGACACCAGAGGATACCTTCCCTCCAGCTCAGTCCAGTGGTGTCTGGGAGGTCCACGGGGCGATGGTAATTGGCCCCGATCCAGAACAACGAATTAAGGGTGGCGTCATCCAATGCCGTCATCACGGCGAGCCCGCAGAATTCCTGGGCGAACTCTACAAATGGGAGATACTTGCAGGCTAGGGTGGCGAATCTCGCTGCGATTTCCATAATCACGGAGAAAAAAACAACTTTCAGAAACGGAAACAAAAACGGGGAGAAGGGGCGCTGCTTACTGTTATCTGGACTGGTGTTCTGTCACGATTGCCTATGGAGAGGAGCAAGAAACGCGGAGACAAAGGATATAGGAAATATGAACAACAGTCTTTAATAAACAAACCTAGGGTAATACAGGGCTGGCTGGAGACACATGTAGCACAACGTAGACGTTCAACACCGGACAGGAAACAAGGGGCAGAACACAATTTAAATACTGTACTTAATGAGGGAATTAATGAGACACACCTGAGATCAATGAACACAATCAGAACACGGGAGAAACTGGGTCACGGGGAGCACAACACAAGACAGGAACACAGGGCAGTCCAAGGGCATGACAGTTGTGAGAACCAGTTTTACCTGTTTGGAAATGTTTATTCATTTCCATAAATGTTTATACCCAGAACTCAAAATGGAGAGAGAGAGAGACTGAAATGGAAATGCTTATTCATTTCTATAAATGTTTTCACCCAGATCTCATAATGAAGAGAGAGAGAGACTGAAATTCAGAGCGTTTAGTGTTTTTGCGAACAATATGATTTTGGCAAATAAAAAATAAAATGAAGTGAAAACAAAAAACACTTAGGTGTTTCTTTTTTATATTCCTTCTTTTGTCCTGTGTATAGTGTAGTGAAGATCTTTACCTTTTTATCTTTTACCTTTACCTTTTCATAAATGAAAGGAAAACAGACTCCTGTTGGCTTGCATAAGACTTTTTTTTCAATGTAGATAGGCCAGTGGTTTGTGTGAGACTGAAGTCATTCTTCTTTCTCACAGAAAGTTTTCTTCCTGTTTTAGAAAAGAAGCATGGCAGCGAGAAGTGGCAGTAAGTTATCTTCAAAAAATTTTAAACTACTTCTCACATTATTTGGTTTAGTTGTCAATCAAAACCTTGGTGTGCTGGGGGTGTGCTGCTTTACCACTATCATAGATTGTGATTTGTTAAAAAACTTTAAGCATTTTATGTTGTTATTTTATGTATAAATATAGGTTGTTCCTACAGTTCAGTATCTTTTGGTCTCTGAATCTTTGCATATTTCTGTTTTATGTTACTAGGCTTCTAGCCTTTAATGTGTAAGACTTATGTCTTATTGTGTAAGACATCTTGTGTAAGCTCCTTATGTGTTGTCTGACTACATCAATTTGACATTTTGAAATGTTTGGTACTTTTGTTACACTTGGTACATTGTTATACTTTCGAGATACAGGCCACTACCTGTATAGATGGAGGAACCAGAGTTCAACAAAAAAAATCAACAAAAGCATGTACTTAAAAGTACTTAAAAGACTGAATTGTAGGAATAAACCTTTTAAGCAAAATCACAGCACAGGTGATATTTAGAATCTTGTCCATGTGTCTTTTCCCTCACAGATGACTTTCAGCTTGTTATTCCTGAAAGAGGTGAACGAGTTAAGATTAATTCGGGATCTACTCTCACTGTGTCGTGTCACTTGTCTCCTGCAATCAGTGCTGTTGACATGGAGATTACTTGGTTTGGTGTGATGTCTTGTGTTTGTGCCTATAAGAACCGAGAGATGACACAGGGTGTTGGCTATGAGGGCAGAGCGAGACTGTTCATTCATGACCTGAAGAGAGGGAATGTGTCTTTAAGAGTGGCAGACTACAAAGAATCAGATCTAGGAGTTTACATGTGCCAGGTCACCAGTAGAAATAAAACGCAACAGATAACAGTAAATGTAGCAGAAGAAGGTAAGCTATTCACTCACTCCACTCATGATGGGTCGGTTACACAAGCTAGACATACACTCGGTTGTAAGACTAGGTAAGATGTAAATACGCCTTAAGTACTGCATAGAATTAATGGTAATTAATGGTAGTTGTATGGTTGTCTGCAGTTCCAAACATAGCTATAGTAATGAATAAATTAGAGTTCAATGAAAAACAGTGCCTGTCCAATTAACACTTTTCTTTGTTGACATATGCAGTCTCTGCCATTTTCAAGGACCAGCACTTCTTTACAGTGGTAAGACAGCACCTATTGTTCTTTTTGTGAATAACATACTACATATGGCACAGTATAACACAATATACAAGACAGTATAGAGGCAGACCAGAGCTAGAAAATAAACAGTGTTACTAAAAACAAGTATATATATATAGTTTTCCAGAAAATATATTGTGCAAAGGGGCAAAACTGTCTGGACAAACCACTGTGTTACTTGCCTCAATAGCCATAAAATTTAGATACATTACTAAAGGATGAAAAGCTCATAGAACATGAAACTAGAACTGCTGGTTTTGAAACAGGAAATAAGGCTCAAACAAATTACAACTACACAGTAAATGCCAAAGGAGGCATACACCTGTGTAGAAATACATTACTTGGTAACCAAGACTCAAGTGGAGACAATAGCACAGCTGCAAGTTGCCATAACAGGATACAAACAACATCAATGCAAAATAAGAAAAATGTGCAAATATAAAGCCAAGCTTTTTGGGTACTGTGGGTATGAAAAGCTTATGGAGATGTGGTTGAAGACAGGAACCAAGACTAAACTGGCATAACCGATCTTGATGAGTAATCAAAAAGTATTTATGCATTGTCAGATTGTATTGTCAGATTGTGGTGTTTGTGTTCCAGAAGTCAAGAATTAAATAAGGCATGCATATAAAATAATCTAGACATCAAACATATCAAAAACCTCCTGTCCATTTACCCCATAAACATCAACCAGTTGTGGAAATAACATTTCCTTTATAAAATAAGGCTAGCAAAAGAAATATTGTCTGCTAAATACATAAAAGCTTCATATATTTCTTGCTACATTGACATTTATGTTGTGACTTTCATTGTATGGAATCACAGTAAATACTTCCTTGTGTTATATTATGTTTGTTTACACAATCTGAAATAAATTATTTTTCTCAATTAGAATTACAAGATGGGAGAAACCAATAACAGTAAGTTGTCTTAAAACTCTTTGTCATCCTTATAAAATCTACAGTAGCGTTCAGAAGTTTGGTTTCAGTGAGATTTTTACTTTTAATCAGTAAAGATGCATTAATTTGAAAAGTGACAGATATTTATAATGGTACAAAAGATTTGTATTTAAAATAAATGTTGTTCTTATGAACTTTCTATTCGTCAAAGAATCTTTCAAAAATGCATCTCGATTCCTTAAGAATATTATGCAGCACAACTGTTTTTTTTAACATTGATAAGAAGAAATGTTTTTGAGAACCAAGTCAGCATATAAGACATAAGCATGCGGAAGAGGAGAGGAAGGAGAGAACGACATAAGAAGAGATGGACAAAGACAGGTTAAACATGCAAAGAGTAGAAAGTGGTTTAACCACAGGACAGGTGGCACACTTTCGCAAGCTTCCAAGAGGGGATGACGTGACTGGCTCCCTCTCAAACTGGACATGTGAATGAGATAAGAAGGGTTATGCATCCGGGACAGTGGATGGCCAAATGTACTCAGTATATATATATATATATATATATATATATATGGGGGTGTAGAAAGAAGTGACGCATTGCCTGCGATGCCTTCTGTGCCGCTGTAAACTGCTCTGCAAATCCATAAACGGCAGAGCCAAACAGTACCTTGGGAGAGACTGGTGAGTCTAGGAAGGTGACCTTGTCAGCGTTTCCTGTTCTCTGTTAGATTTAGCCAAAGTTGGCCATGGCTTTGCCGATCGCCTGCGCCATGGCCTTAGTAGCGAGCAGAGCCAAGTCAGACGCTATGTGCAGCTCTTTGAAGTCATCAGAATTGTGGTCTGGTTTGGCCTGGAATACTTGAAGCACTGCCATCGTGTGAAGAACTGAGCCAGCCTGGCCAGCCACTGAATACACCCTGTTTGCAAGAGCTGAGGTAGTCCTGCAGGGCTTAGATTGGTGCGCTGCATGGGCTTTCAACACCTGGGCCGATAGACGGCACAGATGCACAGCGATTGCCTCTTCCAGAGGGGGGAGCTTGCTATAATCTCATTCTTCAACGCCGTCAACAGGGGTGAGAGCGGTAGAAGTAGAGGGATTAACACGCACCGAGTAGGGAGTGCACCACGTCCTGGTGAGTTCCTCGAGAAACTGCCGGCAGGAACAGGGCGGGCCATTAGCGGGAGGAATGTTGACGCCGTCCCTTCGGGTACCACTCATCAAGGAGTCTGTGGGTGGGCTCTTCCGGAGCCGACCAAGCCACGCCGAGATCCTCCACAGCCTTGGTTTGAACGTGGATCATATTAAAGGTCATCATATTGATGATGACCTTTATTTATACTGTAAAATACACACTCTAAAAAATGCTGGGTTGTTTCAACCCAATATGGACTAACCCAACTTTTGGGTTAAAAATTTAACCCAACGGTTGGGTTAGTCCATATTGGGTTGAAACAACCCAGCATTTTTTAGAGTGTGTATTTTACAGTATAAATAAAGGTCATCATCACTAGGTTAACACTAGAAATTTCAATCAGTTTGCATCAACTTGAGGCATATTGTTCTATTATCTTCAATTTTAGATTACTTTGCCAAACAAATATGACAAAACACAATTTTACAGTATTGCAGAATATTAACCAGATTTTTCCTTAAAATGGTCTTTCACAAGAATAACTAATAATTTAGTTATCTTTGACCACTTTAGAATCACTATAAACTGAACCCCGGATGTGTGACAATGTTATGTCATAATATCCTTTTAAATGGTTTCCATCTCAATTAGGATTACAAGATTGGAGAGGCAATATATCGTAAGTTGATTTAGAATTAATTTATTGTTGAGTAGTGTTAATTTTGTTAACAAAATCTATGATGAAAAACTGTTCATCAATGAAGTTCCTTTTCGAGAGGGTCTCTCGACGTTGCGTACAGTGTAAGCTGATCACATTGGGGAATCCTCAAATACTGAAGCCTTATTCACTTAACGCCATTGCATCGCAATGGCCAATGGCGCTCGAGCATGCGAAAAGAGGGGTGGGAAATCACCCTATATAAACAGCGCTTAGCGGCATTTCATCAGAATCTTTCTCCTTCATTATAATGCTTAGGTCTTCGCCGTTGATTTATCGCCAAAGAAGATTGTGGAATAAGCTTTGCTAATCCCTTTAGGCATTCCGGTGGAGAATGGATTGAAGATATCATTTAAGTTTACCTGATCTGCGTGGGACCCATCGGGATCCCCGATGGACTCAAACTTTGCGTCTTCTGCCTTCTACCCACGCCCTAACTGCCCACATTTCGATGCTAATAAAAGTGAGCATCAGAATTCTCTGGGATCGGTTAGCCTTTGCGCAGCCACCCCTCTCAGCCGCTCTCTTCAAACAGCGGAGGAAGAAGCTCCAAAATCCTGATTTGGAGCACAAAGTATTAAGTGGCGAGTTTACGCTGGCTCAGAGCCCACGTGCTTCCCACTCTGCCGATCCATCCATGACTGTGAGGACTTCCCGCCTTTGGATAGCGCTTGTCATAGGCAGCGCATACCTAAATAAAGAAACAAACTTGGCTCTCACGCTCCCCTCATGGTAGTGGAGCTATAAGCCGAACATGAGGTTTGCATCAAAGGGCTCATATGCTGACACGTGTCCCGCTGACCCCCTACGCTCTGAACGTGCTTGCGATACAAACAGCCCCCCGCTTCAGCGGCGTTCTGTGTTGTACAAAGCACAAAATATCCCAGCCAAGGCGCTTCAGCCACTCACACAACATATATCAGTGCCCCGCCTCAGTGCGGCATTTTGCCTGGTAGATCGCAGATTACTCCAGTCGCTTACTTAATCATATAAACAGCTCCCCCGACCCAGCGGCGAGCTGTTATGTACAAAGCAGCCAGGTAGGCAGCTTTAGACTTCACAAGGTTGACATATCACCCTATAAACCACACTTTCTGTGATGAGCTCCAGCTGTGCCACTCTCTTCATACAGATGCGTAATGTTGCTTACATCGACTGCTATATTGACTGGCGTTAGCTAGCATAGCATAGCTATGTGCAACTGCATGTAAATCCAGCCCAGCTTCACACTCTTGCATAGAGCACCGAGCGAGCTGCTGAGAAACCAGAGAACTCATGGCCGAAACACCATCCGTTACTGGAACGAGGAACGCTCCACAGAGCGTTATAGTCGAATCGACAATAAAGTCTACCCGCTATTTTACTCTTCTCTCGGTTTCACTGCCTATTGCGGGCACTATCACTGGTTGTCTTTGTGCTATGGATGTTCCACTGTGCAGTGCGGCAAGCTGGAAGACAGAATACAGAAGATACTAGACTGTAGCCTATGAAAAAAAAAGTGCTCTCCCTTAAGACAGCGCTATTGCTTATGCTTGCTTCTGTTAAGTGAGTGGATGAAATGCACGCTCTCTCTGTCAGCGAGTCATGTACGGTTTTCAGACCTAATGACTGTAAGTTGTGCTTAAACTGAGAAAGGGTTACATATCCAAGGTGCTCTCAACGCCGTTCAGAGTCTAGGTGATATCTCTCTCAGCTTTTAATCCGAGCGAGTGCACAGCTTTTACTCCGAGCGATTGCCCTTGATGAAATTATTATTTGGCATTTTGAAAAACACCTGTCAAAATCTATGTGATGTGTGGATCTTATTTGTAAAGCTTATTTTTCTGCATTAAAGAATTATCAATCCACTCTGCATATCACAGTGCTTCAGGGAAGGATCAGCGTAAGGTATGTGTGAACATCATCAAGTCACCTTAATTTATGTAGCACTGTCTACAACAGAAATTGTTTCAAACCTGCCTCACAGTAATAAACAGGGAATCAGTGATGCCAGCTTCATCAAATATGAGACCAATTTAAATTTTGCTGTAAAACAGCTCCAAAGACAGTGTAATTATTCAGCTTCAGTCAGCACAGTGTTGATTATAAGGCTAGATCAATAACTGTGCAATGTTCAATTATAACAAAAATTCAGTTCAGCAATGGTTCAGGTTCAAATGTAGACAGTCTATTATTCAGCTCGATTCATTTCAATGTTGATTCAATTCAGTTCAATAACAGTGTGCAACATTTTCTATTATAAACATTTGATTCAGCTATAAAGCAGCTCACACAGAAGTGTGTCAGTAGTGTTATTATTCAGCAGTGTCACAGAAGGCAGTAGTCTCATTATTCAGCTCAGCTCAGTTCAAGCTTTGCTATTCTCATACGATAGTGTCAGTGCCAACAAACTGATCAAAGTACTGAATATTAAGTGCCTTTTAGACCCCAGGGAACACAAACCCTTGGGCTCAGTCAGGGGACCAGTTCTCCTCTAGCCAAACTGAACAAATACAGTGTGATTTATCAGGCTTCATTACAAGTCAGATTTGTGAATTGATGTTATTCAATAAGATTTTGAATCTATCTCTTTCTGCTTGAAGATTGGGGTATGTCAAACCGGCATTAGGAGGGAAAGAAGAGTTGTAGTCTGTGCAGCAGGTTGTAACATAAATGTAGAGCTGCCGCCTGCCGTTTAGACAGTAATAGACGATTAGCTTATCAGTGGCTATAGGCACGTAGGCATGGTTAAAGCCGTCCTTGTTCTGTTTTTCCAGATTAATACAGCCTAAATTTAAAAGGGATTTAAATGATAGGTATGTGCTAGTGTGTTGTGTATATAGGTTAAAGAGATGGGTCTTTAATCTAGATTTAAACTGATAGAGTGTTTCTGCCTCCCGATCAATGCATGGAAGACTGTTCCAGAGTTTGTGCTAAAATAGGAAAAGGATCTACCATCTGCAGTCAATTTTGATATTCTAGATATTATCAACTGGCCACTAGTACAAATAGCATATAACTTCTCAAACTTTTTGCTGCATGTTGTAGTATCTATTACTATTTGCTCTAAGTAAACAAGTGTGTGACAATGTTATGTTTAGACAAACATGCTTAAGAAAACAAAATCTTGTTTTTATCTAATTTAGGATTACAAGGAAGAAACAGATAACAGTAAGTTCAAATCATTGACCGTAATCATTAGTATTTGCATTGCACATTTAAAAATTAACATGTAAAATCATAATTTGTATTAATAGAAGAAGGCCTATATTAAAAATCACTAATGTAACACTGAAATTATGAAAATTTAATTTTTGGATCTTGCCTGTTAAGAGGGTTTATTTTTTTATTGTTTATTTTTCTCTTTGTTATAGAATTATCATCACAGTACATCAAATCACATCTAAGCCGTCCAGACAACAAACAGTCTGGGGTATGTGTGCACTTTAATAACCTATTATTTAGGGGACACACACACACACACACACACACACACACATCATAAAATAAATGAAACTGCATTTGTTTTAATCTAAATTAGGACAACAGAATGGGAACCAAAGGCAAAGGTAAGTTGCCTTAAAATTATCGACTTTGTTATCATATGAATGTGCATTATTTATTAAAAATAATTTTGTGATATGATGTTTAAAGATTGCTATACCAAATAATTTCTTTATAGATAGAAAATATGTAGGTAATAATAATGTGTCTACTTTAAAAAGCAGATTGCTATTTTGGGTGTGTAAGTAAGTGTGAGTCCATTTTTCTTTTCCTCACAGAGAACTTTCAGCTTGTTGTCCCCAGTACATCACAAGAACCAGAGGCTTCCTTGGGGTCTGATTTGATTATTACATGTTACTTGTCTCCTGAAATCAGTGCTGTTGACATGGAGATCAGTTGGTCTAACGATACAGCCTGTGTTTGCCTGTATAAGGACAGGCAGGTGACAGAAGGGGTTTTGTTCAAGGACAGAGTGAGTCTATTCACTCACAAGCTTAGGGAAGGAAATGTGTCCTTACGACTGAAAAACTTCAGGCTACCAGATATTGGAAATTACCATTGTCAGGTCATCAGTAAAGACAGAAGAGAGAAAATTACAGTAAGAGGTGAGCAGTCCTCTACTTCAGTTCAGTGTGCACATTAATAATGTCATGTCAGAATGAATGTTAGATGTAGATGTATGTTAGATCCTCATCAGTATGTGATCAGAAAACTCTTCTGAATCTAATATGGTCATATTTCCGCCTTATCCAAAATATTCTTTAAAATAGTCACTGGAACATTTAACCAGTTTTAATACTCGATCAAAAATGAATCATTCATCTCCAGTGTTGGGCAAGTTACAGATGAATAACAATTTATTTGTTTTAGATATTTTATGTTTAGATATTTCTATTTTGCGGAGTCCTGTGAATCATTTTATTCTCCCGCATTCTCCCGCATCCGCCCGCACCAGCACTCGCCCATCTTGTCCCGCGCTGCGCTCTGTTGCGTTGGGTCTCGCGGGAGAGCAGGTCTCTAATCCACTGGCACTTGACTCCACAGTGCGTG